TCGCTGACATTGCAAGTCTTTATGGTTATATGATTAACTATAAGAAGGTGTGGCATGGAAAGCAGAAAGCTTTGGCCGCCGTATTTGGTGATTGGGAAGAATCATATGCATTCCTTCCCAGGTTGATTTTGGCATTGGAGGCGTCTAACCCTGGCACTATTTTCTCCCCTCGATACCAAGATGAAGAGATACAACCGCCAGAGCCAGGTAACAAACGCCATTTCAGACGAATTTTTTGGGCATTCAAGCCATCTATTGATGGTTTTGGCTTCTGTGTCCCTGTGATCCAAGTGGATGGTACATTCCTTACCGACAAGTACAAGGGCACTCTACTGATTGCCAGTGGGGCGGATACAAACAAACAAGTATTTCCTTTAGCCTTCGCCATTGTTGAGGGAGAGAATACTGATAGCTATGGATGGTTTTTCCGGCAAATTCAGCTCTACGTCACTAGGAGGACGAACCTTACAATAAACTCTGATTGGCACGCCGGGATTAGAGCTGCCATCTTAGGTTTGGATCCAGCCTGGAAGTGGTCCCAAAGGTGGTGCATACGACACTTCAAGAGCAACTGGAACCATCATTTCAAGCGGAAGAAGCTTGATGATAATTTGTGGTGGATTGGTAAGCTCTCTATTGGTTGTTTAATTTTGTCAAATAACAATATCTTATATCAAATAAATGGTACACTTGTTAGACTCTTTCTAAAGAGATGCATGCCTAAGGAAATGAGGTTTTAAGAGATTATCATGGTCCTCCCATTTTCTGGGAAAATCAGGTTTTAAGCAATCCTCGGATCCCCCTTTTTTCTGTCAACCAGGTTGTGTTTCTAAGGAGATGTATACATCTCCTAATAGTCTAACGAGAGTACCTGTTGGTTGTTCAAATTGTACTAAATTGTCGAATTATGACTAACGTATACTTGATTGTGATTACCTCGGTTGTTGCATACCAAGAGAAAAAAATCTAGGAGAAGTTGCAGAAGATGAGCGAGTTATGCCCTGAAGGGGCACAGTGGCTGGATGGACACGACTTATCCATGTGGACATTCATAAAGACGGAGGTACAAGATGGGGTATTGCCACAACGAACTCAAGTGAGAGTATCAATTCTGCCTACAAGGGTGTTCGGGCGCTGCAAATCTCTGCCATTGTGGAGATGACTTTTTGAAAAACGAATGGATGGTTCGTCAATCGACTACATTGGGCAAGGACGAACGAGGCACATGGAAAGGTCCATGCCAATAAAGTCACAGAAATACTGGAGCATGACAATCGCAAGAGTAGTCGACACAGTGTAATCGTTATGAATGAGGAAACTGGCGAGTTTAGCATGATGACCGAACACCGTGAGGATGGTAGACGCGGGGGCCATCGCCATGAATTTTTGGTAAATTTCAGGACAAAACTTGGTGAGTGCTCATGCCAGAAGTATCAGGGGAGAGGGTGGCCATGTTCTCATGCAATGGCTGTAATTAAAATAGGAGCAAAGACCCCCGTCACTTCGTCAGTCCTTTCTTCAATATCGACTCACTCAAAAATTTCTATGGACAGAGTTTTCGTGCATTGCCTGATGAACCTTATTGGCTGGTGTACTCAGGAAAGTTGATCATCCCGCCGTTCGGACAGAGGCGTGAACTAGGGATGGCAATAAAACCCAAACCCACGGGTACCCCCAACCCGGTCAACGCGGGTAAAATCCGTGTTGACGGGTTTTGGGCCGGGTTTGGGTTTAAACCCATTCACTATTCATCGGGTTGGGTTTGGGTTTAGGTAAACCCGACCCATTGGTACCCGCCCACCCATATAATTAATTTTCTCGGTATATTTAATATTCTAAACAACTAATCTTATTTATGTTTGTGGAGACATGTCTAATTTTTTCTTTCTAGTTATGTAGAATGAAGTTGATGTTATTGAGTGGAGAGTGAAAAACTTAATTGAAAGGAAGAAGTTTCGATTAATCATGTTATTTATGGATAATTTGTGATTTGCTTCAATTTTCTTGAGTTTTCTAGATTGGTGTTGAACAATTTGTGTAGTTAATTTGTGATTTGCTTGAATTTTCTAGAATGGTGTTTTATATATGGATAATTTGTATTGAGAGATTGATATTTGACTTTAATTTTGATAGGAATTTGTTATTGTGAATTTTTTACGACAAAAACCCGTGGGTACCCATGAACCCGCGGATACCCAGCGGGTTGGGTTGGGTTTGAGTTTTTCAAACCCAGTGGGTTTTACCCCGGGTTTTTTTCACGGATAAACCCATGGGTTTGGGTTTGGGTTTGGCAAAACCCGACCCAACCCGACCCATTGCCATCCCTAGCGTGAACCGGGTCGACTGAGGAAAAAGAGAATTCAGAACGAAATGGATCAAAGTGGAAGACCACCACGAGGCCCAAGACGATGTTCAGTATGTAGAGTTCCAGGGCATGATAAACGAAGTTGTCCAGGTCCGATTGGTCCGCAAAATCCGGGTCCTGATGTGGGGGACTCAACTAATGCGACATAGTTTGCGGTTATCATTTGTTGGTACTTGTTATGTATGTTTTCACTTATTGTCGGAGTTAGAGCTATGATTCTTGGAACTTGCGTGTTTGGCAAATCACCCTCAATTAACACTCAAGCCTTAAGTTAATAGAAAAAAATAGAGAAAGCGAAGTATATGTTAAAAATACTAAAACAACACGCAAGTACATATAATTAAAACATAACTAAAAACAACAATTAAAATGATAAACTAAAAAGTGCATCTCAAGGAAGTCCCTGGGACTCATGGGGCTGCAAGGTTTTCTTGCTCCTTGTACGACGGTCGACGGGAGTAACCATTGGTGGTTGCGGTGGCAAGTTTCGATGGGTGGGATCGGACGCTCGTCGGTGCTGTGTCGGCGTCGATCCGTGGTAGGCGGCGCTTCCGGGGTCGAGCGGGGGACATCCACGCTCATACGATGAGGGGTAGGAGGCAACAGCTGATGGGGGCGAGGAATAGGATTGAAGTCATGATGTCCGGTCGTGGAGGAACCATCATGCCAAGTACCCGAGGATGTGGGGGGTTCGTTGAAGAAGTTGGGGCGGGGATCTTGGGGGTAGATCGGCCGAGGATCATAGTATGGGGGGCGATGATCATAGTAGATCGGACGGGGATCGTTGTATGAGATCGGGCGGGAATCATATGGGGATTGATGGTAGCTCGGAGGGGATTGATGGTAGCTCGGGCGGGGATCGTAGTATGAGCTAGGATGGGGATCATGATGGTAGCTCGGGTGGGGATCTTGTGAGTGGCTCGGGCGGGGATCTTGGGAGTGGCTTGGGCGGGGATCTTGATGTGAGCTCGGACCGCCACCGTGTGCCACAATCAAGGGGTGCGTCACTCTCCACGCCTCCAACGGCCTTATCTCGGGCACATAAGGTCTTTCCCGAACCTTATTGCTTTTCTTTCTCTCGTATGGTGGTGGGGGGTGGGGGACATCAACTTGTACCGGAGGTTGCACCGGTGCGGGCATGGGCGGGTATCTACGATGATCAAGACCCTATGCTCTGATACAGCCAAGCAGACTGTTTGTCATCCTCCTGATGAAGCTCACATCTTCACTGCCCATTTCATGTTTCCCATGGGTCAAATCTTTGATCCGCTCGATCCCATCAGCCTAAATAACATAAAAAAAGGTTAGCAAGATAAGACTAATGATGTTTCTCCTTGAAACAAGCAATAAATTTAATTGTTTAGACGGAATATACTTACTAATGCACCATCGGTCGCACCCTCTGGAGTCACGTACCGAACCGATGTTTGTCGATATCTATCCATGTATGGGTCATGATACCCCATTCGACCCACATATGTTGGAGTGACAATCTCCTGAAGTTGTCGGTTCTCCCATATCGCGATCATTGCCGCCAACTTCGTGGGCCAATCGTGAGTACCTTGTCGACCATCTCGGTGGTAAAACGCCCTTTGACTCTCGGAGACTTCCAACGGAATGCACTGCTCCCGACCAAACTGAAGTAGGCATCGATCCGGCAGGTGCCACTCCACGGTCCCTAAACAAATGAGAGGGACCCTCGTGCACCATTGCCCGATATGACTAGGGAATTGCTGTAAATGCCAATGAACGATGTTCGCCGGGTATGGATCAAATTTGATCTACAAAAAGAAATGAGTAACTTAAGTTAAACAAAATTGAAAAAATACATGTACTCCATGAAAAAAATTTATAGCACTTAGAAGTATTCTAGTTACTTCTCCTTCCCAAAGTCGCTCTAGCCTCCTCCGATACTCTACCAACTTGTGTTGGGCAAGGTTATCGCATGTTGAGGCTCCAACCCACCTTATTAATAAGGCAATAATAAAACTACAATAAGCTAAAAAATAAGGAAATTGAGTTATTAAAATCATGATGGGGTATGAGAAGTTTACCTACAACCATAAGCTTCGAGTCTTAGGGGATGATCGGGACCCCAATTGCTGTCGGGACATTTGAGCGGTGCAATCCATGGCAGATGCTTCCAAGCCCAAAATTGGACGATGAACATTGCGCCGCCGACCTCCCTCACAGCTTTGAGAGATGCATTGCACAAATGGTGGTAGATATTAGCTAGGTAAGCGGATGCCTAGCTCAACTCCCCCATCTCATCCCAACTACCAAGGAGGATCCTAAACCATCCACAACTAATTAAATTGCTTGATTTTTTTGGAGAAGAACACTCCTCCTATCATGCATATGAGATAGACACGAGCATATCTTTCCTTCTCTAGCTTCGGACTTTCCTCGGTTAGGGGCACCCCATTTTTGTCAGGATTGTGATGGTCCCTAAAATACTTCGTCAAACAAGTGATTGATACTTGGTGTTTCCTCAATGGTGGCAAGTGATCCGTCGCATCAACGCTCCCCTTGATTGGTACTTTCACCCCCAAAACACTGTGGATGAAATGCTGCCAACCGGTCATACCATCACGATCCTCGGGGGGGATGATCACTCACACACACCGCTTTGCCGTCAATGGGCAGATGAGTTAGGATGGCGACGTCCTTTAGTGTGATGGTGCACTCTCCTTCGCGAAAGTTGAAACAATGTGTCTCCTTTCTCCATCTCTCCACCAATGCGGTGATGAGTTGGCGATCGACTTTTATGCCTACAAAATGCCTAATCGACTCCAACCGTGCCCTTTTGAGAAAGGGCAAGATAACTGGGTTCCATGGGAGCACATTGGTCGTACCCCTGTAGCGGTGTATTTGTTGTGCCTCCTAACAAAAATTTCAACGTTATTTATGATATATTAGTAACAGTTTAGTCTTATAACTAAATTAATTAAAATTAATGATTTAATTTCGACCATAATTCTATTATAATTATATTATTAACAATCAAATTTAAGTAATTGATGGTTTTTTCCAAGATATATACATATTATCATAAAACAAACATACTCAATTAATTGACATAAATAACATTATAAATGAATAATAATTTAAGAGATACATACATATTCAAACATTTGAAAAATTAATAAAATTCATTTAAGTACACATAAACATAAATCGTATTGGTTGTTTGGTAAATAATTTAATCGTATTGGTTGTTTTAAATAATTTAATCGAATACAATGCAACACTCGTTAGACTCTTAGAAGAGGTATACATCTTCTTAGAAACCCAACCTTTTTGACAGAAAAAGGGGGGATCCGAGGATCTTTTAATACCCGATTTTCCAAGAAAAAAGGAGGATCATGATAATCGCTTAAAACCCCATTTCCTTAGACGTGCATCTCTTTATAAAGAGTCGAAGTAACTGGCGCTATGTATTCGATTAAATTATTGAAAACAACCAATACGATTAACTTATGTTAAATTTATTTTATATTCCACTAAGTACATTAGCAAAATAAAAGAAAGACAATTAATGAAGAATTGTATGTACCTAGTGATCGTTCCAAACATCCCTTGAACGATGGTTGGGTTGGTCGTACAAGTCGGTTGGATCAATAGGTCCTTGATCCAAATAATAGTGTTGGTTGTATATATCCACGTCGTCCCCAACCTACGATAGAATAACAACAAGGTTAGTACATATAATAATTAAAAAGCTTATAAACACAACAAAAATTGACAAGAATAATGAGTACGTACCGCTTGAAATTCATCATGATAAACTCCCTCTTCTTGGAACCACTCGTCCATTTTTTCGCGAAAGTCGGACAGAAATTCGGCGGGTTTTGAGGGAAAAACCAAAGAAATGTAGCCGCAACCAACATACCACTATTTCCTAGACTTTTGGGAGGGGAGTGGATAAAGAGATAATTTTAGAGAGAGAGTGAAGAATGGGTTGTGGTGTGAAGAAATGAGAGGGGGGAGGGGGTATTTATACTACTCAGACCGCACCCTCTAGGGGCGGTCTGATAATTTTGCCCTGCCAGAAACCGCACCCTCCCGATGCGTTCTGCGATTCTCGAGGCGCTGATCGCACCTGCCAGCTGCGGTCTTCGATCCATGGCGCGGATCTCTGTGGTGGCGTGCGGTCCGCCGTTTGATCGCCGCCTGATCCAGCGGTCTCCAAGTCCGCTCCGAGGAAACACAGACCGCACCATCTGGGTGTGGTTCGCTTGCTGATGTTGCATGGAACGCACCTCCAAGGTGCGATTTATAGGTAAAACGCACATTGGAGATGCGGTTTCAAAATAATTGTGCTATTTTTGTAATTTTTTTGGAGTGAGTGCTATTTTTATAATTTTTTTTTTAAAAGTGCTATTATTGAAAAAAAAAATATTATTTTGATATTGATATTGGGGGCTAGATGAGTTTAGGGCTCAATTTATTGATTTTGATATGTTTACTTTTCTCGGTGATAATACGAGTAAGCTAATGATGAAAAGAATAGGGAGGAAGGGGGCTACATGGGTATTGGTAAATGGATGATGGGATCAGCCTTTTTCATGCTGCGGTGTTTTGTCATTTCTAGCTCTCCCCGGATCTTCTCTGTCATCTTTGTCCTCCCACTTTTCTCCCTCCCTCCCTCCCCTGTCCCTGTGTACTGTTCCCACCTCCGCAGTATTTCTGCTGCCTGCCTTCCTTCTCCAATTCGCATTTCTCTCTCCACAGGGAACTTTCGCAGAAAATGAAAACCCATTTTCCTGCTAACCAATCAAAGTAAAACCCTCTTTCTCTTTTCTCCCTTGGGGCACCTCACAGTCATAGACTACTTCCCAATCCCCTTAATTCTTCCTTTCTCCCCAGCCAAGTGAGTGAGACAATTCTCTGCGTCCCTTTTGCTTTCTCCCACCCATTTCTGTGCTTCCCCATTTTCCGCTCTCGCTCACCTTTGCTTCCATTAGGGTTTCCGCTCACTTCGAAAATCAATCTTCCGGTGTGTTCCTGTCCTTCTTCCTTCTCCCTCTTCCAATCTAATCTAATCCAATCCTCACTTTTCCATTTTTCTTCAGTTATTAGGGTTTTATTACGATGTGTTGTGATGTGATGTAGCGCACGCTTATTTATACTGACTCGCTTCCACTCTCTTACCATTTGATGCAGATTTCAATAAAATCCTAGAGTGAGTGAGAGAGAGAGAGGCGACGGAGACGGGGAGGGAGAAGAAGAGCGTGACTACTGCTAGCAGACTCTTCGTTTCCAGTGAAACGTCACATCGGAGGAAAATGGATGTTCTCTTCGCACAGTCCGACCCACCACCGTCCCCACTTAGCTCTTCCATTTATCCGTCCTCCTCCTCCTCCGCTTCTTCTTCTTCTTCGCCGCCGTCCGTCTCAGGAAGATCCACCGGTTTCGCCGCCTCGTCGATTGTTTCCGTGCCGCAGAGATTTCTGGCCACGATTCACTCCCTTAGGGTCCGGTACTTCCTCTTCGCCGCCGTAGCGGTGGTGATGCTCCTGCTACCGCTGCTTTCCCTTGTCTCAGGTAGTTGCATCCATCCTACTATTTCTTTTCATCATTTATCCGCAAAACCAGGGAGCTAGCTAGGAAAGCAAAGGGGAAAAAAAAGAATAATAAACGAAGGAAAGCTAGCTAGGCCGAGCTAAAGAGCAATTTAATCATAACCGACTCTCTTCTTTTGCTTCCAGTTTGCTTAATCATGAAACTGAGTCGACTAGCTTTATCCTGGGTATGAACCTGAGAAAAGCGAATCGATGATTTTGTCTGCCCTTTCCAATGGTTTTTTGTTTTCTTTTGGATGAACTGGGTAATCCCGTTTTATGTTTGTTTTTGTCAATTTCATTCTTTCCTTCCCTCTGCTTTCTTTTTCGTGCTCATTCGCCATAATTGCATATTTTCAACTACGAAAGGAAAAAGGAACAAGAGACCAGCAGCTGGGTTTCATCATATTTCCAGATTTGTGTCCTAATTCTCTCCTTTTGTTTCTGTGTAAACTTGTAGGTAACAGTCCATGTTCATCATCTGGAGGGTGCCCAGGCGGCGCCATCTCGAATGCAAACCGGTCACTACTCTCTGGTCTTCCTCATCGCAAGTTTCTCATTAGACGCTGTAAGAATCTTCTCTCCTTTTAACGCCATTATTTCTGGGTCTGAGTCTCTTTGATCCGACGGTTGTAGATGGGCTGGGTGGCGAATTTGTGGGTTTTATCTCTCACTCCGGGGTGGGTTGTAATTTGGAGCCTAGCCTGGGTTGTGAAAACTGAAAAGCCTGAAGGAGGTTATGCCTGTGCTGTGCTGGTTTTCCCTGTTGTTTGTCGCTTAATTGCCATGGAGGAGAGGAGAGGTGACTGACTCTATACCCTGTAGCTGGTTTGTAGCCTCTAGGGTAGGACGTAGCAGCGGCCCTCAGAGGTGCGTACGATACAGTTTGTCAGAGTGGGTGCACACGGCTTGTTATTTTAGTTATTATATTATGCTCATTCATTCCTTGCTATCATGCACCGTTTCCCTTCCACCAAAATGGGGGCTACATCTTTACGCGTTGAATTTACCTATTTGCCCTTGTTGAAATGATGGGATCCCCATGTCACTTCCACCTTTTCCCTCTTTTCGGTCATTTGTTAATTGGAGAAACTCGGGGAGCTTGTGACCCAGGCCCCGGGCGCCACCTTGCATTCGGCGCATGTTAACCTAACCAACTTTTCTCTTTATTTCATCATTATTATTCATTATTATTATTATGTATGGCAATAATCGATCCTCATATGTTGTGTACCTGTAGCTGCCTGGCTGATTAAATTAGCAGGCATGTTCAGGGATTAGGTCAGAAAATCATTAATCATTGTCGTCTTTCAGTAGATAATAGTAAATGAAGTCCATGAATTAATATGTTGGGACGCATCAGATTAGTTAATGTTGTTCCTTCTATTCACGGGACAGCCTCAGAATAATGCAAGGCATAGGCATTCTCGTGTTGAAGGAAGAGGGATAGGATACCATAAATGCCTGGTGTCTGTTGTGTTCCATTGATTTTTCATTATCAACAATACCATTATGGAAAGAGGCACCACGTAGAAACGAAACGTTTGATTGTGACATGATGCCATTCTCTCTCCTCTTCCTCCCGATTCTTTTGTTTGTCTTCATCTGCTAGCTTGCTTGCTTTCTGAGGGCAGTTCTTATGGCCCTTCAGAAATAAAAGTGTGTTTTGTCCGTTGACCCTTCCCTTTATGGCATTCATGTGTCGAGTCGCTCGTATTATGTGTTTCCCCACATCATCACCTTTTTGCACAAAAGCACAAACTTTCACCAGCTCGAATTGTATACAAAACATCACCCTTTGTGTGCTTCCTCTTTTCTTACCCAATCTGAATCTGGGGTTTCTTCTTCCATGTCTCTGAATTGCGTTTGTTTTTTCTTGCTTGTGTTTGGTTCTTGCCCACAGCGGTGCTGGCGAAGGAGGAGCCCAACAGGATGTGGGGAGAGAAGTGTACGACGGCAGACATAGTGATAAACCAGGGCCCAACTTCTCCTCTCCCTAACGGGACACCAACTTACACCGTCGAGATAATGAACGTCTGCGTCACCGGCTGCGACATTTCCAGGATCCACATCACCTGCGGCTGGTTCAGCTCCGCCCGTCTCGTCAACCCCAAAGTCTTCAAGCGCGTCCGCTACAACGACTGCCTTGTCAACAACGGCAAGC